CATTTAATAGAAGTGGGAAGCAAAGAAAATCACGGCGTTCTCAAAAGCTGCAGATCACTGGGCTTCCATGAAAGTCCGAAAAATCAACATTACATAGAAATCACACAGCAGCAGATTCATTTAATCTTCTACATAAATTTGTTAAAAAATAAAGACACATTTTCATCCATACAAGCCTGTCATTATTGTTTTCTTTATCTTCAGACAAATGCTAATGATATGTAAATTATATGCAAATTAGCCGCCACTCTGATACATTTTTCTGGGGAGAACACTGGAGAGGACATCCGGGTATGTCAAAAACTAATTCGTTTGGTAATGTGACCCACGTGACACACATCATCTCTTTCTAGCAGAGTTAGTATATCCATGGACGTACGTATTAGTATGTCCATAGTATATCTATGGTAGGAGGACTATGTCCCCATGAGCTCTCTGGGCACCTAAAACAATTAAACGTTGTTTTATCATCCCATTTGTCGGTTCATTGAAATTCAAAAGTAGGTGGAGGATATTTGCGGAAGTTTATAAATTAAAACTACAGTACGGGAAAAAATAATACCATTGAGTCGACAGAAGGATCGACAGCCTGTGCGAAAAGTACGAGTATGTAAAATTGCCATCGCCGAAAAGGGCGCCCCCTGCAGGTGTTTTAAACCAGACCTGAAGTATGCAAATTAGTGTTATCGATTCTGGTCGCCATTTTGAATTCTGCTTCAGTTTGGGTCGGTGTGTCAGTTGGTCGTTGGATATATATCGGCGGGACTTTCATCCATTTGTGATCGAATACACACGTTTCTAACAACAGGAGGAGCAGCCAGGAAAGTGAATATAATGCTGGGATAGATGAGACGTAAGTTGTCTTCGATATTTACTTTTCAAAGCTTGTTTAGGTTGATCGGACATGTAAGTACTTGTGGAGGTGTGTGCGACACCGAAGAAAACAGTTAGAGTAAGTTTGTTTGTAAGGAGGTCAACATCTATTGTCAAGGAAAACACTATTTCCAAAGGATTTCCATTCAGCCATTATCATATCACCACATGACCCTTGCAACGAATATAGAATGTCGCCTCAGTGGGGGTAAAATGTCGTTCTTGATGACAAATAGGGGTTTCTATTGTCGATGTTGTGACAAACCGTTGCACATTCCCCAGAATGGCGTCAGTAGCAACGAACTTAAAAGCTACAAAGATTGGAAATACAATTATAATTTCATTCTTTTTTATACCATCACCTTATATCACGTATGGAGAATTTCTTGTAGAATAATAAATTATTATATTGCTAAAATTAAAATTATTTAGAATTTCTGCTTCATACTGATTAACGCAAATCTATTTCACAAAATTCACGAGAAATAATTGATGACCACTGGAGATAATTCTAAAAACTATTCTTTGTACATGTATAGATGTGATTGTCCTGGGAAATGTTAGAAATTTCTGCCATAAAACAAAACAAAAAAAGGCAATATTCAAAAACAATTGCAAAAAATATTATAAACCATTTCCCACCAGATACATGTAAATATTATTTAATCAACTTCCATTGATCACTTTTTACAATTCTTTCAAAAAGTAAAATATTTTAAGTATTTATTTTTTCCTAGGGACATTATTAAATGAAAATTGGCAAAATGACAAAATTGTCATGGGTTATAAAACTCACCGTTTGCGCACTCTGAACTATTTTTCATTATATTGTGGATGGATTAAAGCAATAAATATTGCCAAGTTGTTGTTACTTTGCTGCACAATAGCCTACAACTTGTAAATGGTCAGGGTATTTTGGTGATTGAGCAATCAGAAAATGGTGGTGTTAAAGAACAAAAGTTCATAGAGATTCGGTTGCTATGGTATGATCATGATTAAAAGTCACAATAACTATTGTTATTCTGTTTTCGGAGATTATGATAACAATTTGTAGATTTATTTGCCATATTCTGAAAACTAATTTGATATTTGTTCCCCAGTGTGGTTTACTTATTCTCAAATTGGTCCCAAACTTTCAGTTGCAAGGTAAAACCTGAATGCATCTTTGAGTATTCGTGGCAAGTTGGCATCTTTGATAATGTATGAATTCTTGGCACCGTTCCCGAAAGAGTGAACTTTGACCCTACAAGCACTGTCCAAACTTTAATGTCCACTTCAGGTTTCGGCCATGGAAGCAATTGTAAATGTCTCAAAGGTCAAGATAGGCTATGAAGCCAAGTAATGTAGCATAAAATATTTGTAATTAAAACCATTATTCACTGTACAGACTCTGGCTAAGGGCCAAGTACTTTCAAAGTAAGCTAACTGGCTGTAAAAGTGGTTTTGTGTTTTTTAGCAGTTCTGTAATAAAGACGTTTATAATTTGTTTTTACTTAGTAACACTATGACAACAGATGCTGTAGCTGTCAACTCTCTTGTTGATATTATACCTATATCAACTGAATCACTCAATGAACCTCTTTGATTCTTTCATATCAAAGTTTGTTTATGTCCAGTTCACAATTTCTTTGAATACTGTCGCATATGATAAGTGTATTTTAATTAATGGTCATGTCAATGTGTCCACACTTTTATCTGGGACATTCCTGGACAGATGATGTTCAAACTTCATCATTCATTGTCTTCGGGTACATGATATTTACATGATCTGATTTTCAGATTAGTTTAAATATCAGACATTTTAATGCTTAAAAATGTGACAAAATCGAGCATTCCCAGCATTTCAAAACCTGATCGAATTAAACTTCACACATCAAAATCATGTCAAGTTGTGAATAACAAATTACACTTTTGCTAACTATTGCATGATGGGGATTGTGTCATGTCGATGACTTGATTAATTCTGAAATATTTCCTAATTTTGCTTCACAGTTTAGTTTAGCAAACTTGCTTGTTTCATACTTTAAATTACTTTATTTTTGCCTGGAATTTATTTTTGCTATTTTCTCTGAAGAAATGAATCAATACCTTTTTCCCTATATTTTTCTATATTTCAACTCATCAACAATCAATAAAAATAAACTTTATACAAAACAGCCAAAATTTTTAGCGAAAATTATTCCAGCAGTGAGTTAAAATATAGTATTTTACACTACACTACACTACATTAAAATATGCAGAATAAACAAGCCAATCAGGCCTTGACCTGCGCTATTGTACTTACAATGCTTTATAAAGTGTAAACATGTAGCTGCTTGGTTTTGACCAGCAATTCTTATCCCTAGAGATATTGTCTGTGGTATCATGGGACACTCAAACCATTGTTGTTATTATCCACAGATCTTTCTCTGGGGTCTTGAGTTCGGCAACAAATCATAAAGTCTTCAGAGACTTTAGAGTTTATAAAATAACTTTTGTTTGTTTTATTACCGGTACTTATTTTCAAAGGTTGACAGATCATCTAATTTTATTAGGTTGTAGCTACATGTTATTTTATGTGTGCTCTATACTTTGATTTTTATTTCATGTAAAATTAAATCAAAACCTGCCATATTTAGCTGTCGTAGTTTCAGTGACTAATTAAAGTTCCGGATGATTGATGAAGCATCTTGTTGGTTTCCTTGGCAACCTGCAGTCATGGCGTCTGCCATCTTTTGTTGATGATCTGTGTAATGAATAATAATTCACCAACTATTGATTATTTAAAGTTTAATAAAGCTTGATCTGACAGCAATAATCATGTACATGTACAATGTATCAAGTTAAATATACCATGATAAATTTACAAACTGGTTTACTGTCTAGTTTGTCATGTTAGCAATGTACATGTATAGTACAGTGTGAGTGTAACTCAACAACCAAGCTGGTTTTGACTTTTTTCACAAAAAATACAATTTTTAAAGTGTGTATCATATAATATAATCCTAAATAATTTTAACTTATTCTGCGAATTTACTAAAGTTATTAGGAGATGTATTTAGATGGATTTCTGTGTACAAGTTAGGTATATGTATATGGCTAGGTATAAGTTAAGATAGCTCCAAGCCTTTTAAAAGCTAGCTGATTATTAGGCTACCCTTGACTGTACTGCATGTCACACATCATCCTGAAGCATATTCCACTGTATCCAAATACATGTATGCAGACCTTTGTTACCTACATCCCTCAGTGATGGGGCATGCTTATTCTGATTAGGCACAATTGTAGATGGTCTTTAATAGCTAGAATTTGTTGTGACTCAGGTTACATTCACAGTCTATTATTAAATTATAAATAAGTGTGATTCACTTGTCATAGCCAAGTAGTACCCAGTTAAGTCAAATTGCTTTGACATGTGTGGCTATTTATGGTTAAGCCATAGTGATCAGCAAACCCACTTGTCTGTATTAAACTATCTACATGTAAGGTATGTATGCTTTAACAAGCATTTATTCTCATTTTGCAATATTTTTCTTTACTCCTGTCATTAATGATATGTTGGTAAGGTTTTGATAAGGAATAGGAAGCACTGTAAATACCTTGAATATTGTAAGAGACAAATTGTTGCGAATTTTGTGGCTTCACGAATGCTATAAACTCATCAAATTACTATAACTCTTAGCAGTGAAAATTAATTAAGCGGTTTACAGTAATAATATTGCTGTATACGAGAGGTTAAATAACTTGAGTACTTCTGTGGTTATTTTTGTACATACATGTACACCATCACACTATTGCACACCCAGCCATATTTTTGTTAGACAAGCACACATTTACCTTTTCTTTTTTGATTGAACACATTTTTACCATAGAATTAAAATAAATGGCAAAAACAGGACGTATGAGAAATGTAATTCTATTCAGTCAACTAGTCAGGATTTCTAATGTGTGCTATACTAATGCATCATGTGGTTTCTGTTTTCATTATAAGTCAATTAAATTCCCATAATGCAAGGTTTCAGGTTTCCGTAGTGGTATATTGTCTGATTTACTACTGCATGATGTATACTATTAGGTAAATCATCCCGCTGACCTATGACCTATCACCGTTAGATGCCAGGCTTTAACTTAAAGGTAGGACACTACACAAAAGTAAAAATATTGTATTCTTTCTTTTTTTAACATATCATGTTACAAAGAAATAAAAAATATGAGGTCAGAGAAAATCAGTCAATAAAATAAATTGAAAATAGCATGTTTTGTCTGTTTTACGACATTTTACTATTCTTTTCCTATGGCAAGGATGTATCTCAATGTCAAAAATGTTGTCATATGGTGAAAAAGAATATATAGTGTTTTACAAGGTACTTTTTCGATGTCTACAATTAATAAAAAAATTGGCAATATTTTTAGTGGGTCAGAAAATGTGTTTTCATTGTGGTGTTTGGAAACTGATTTTATTCGGATTACGGTATTTTACCATATTTCTCAAAATTTTGACAGTGAACCAAAAAGTTCACATACTGTTAATACTGACTAATAATTGGATAATTCATTAATTGTAGTCAGTTTTTGGCACAAAATATTGCTACTGCTACATCAGGGGTTTTTCTAGAAAAAAACTACAAGAGGGAGCACTGCAATTCAGCGGCGCCACCAAGTGGGAGAGATAGGGTTCTTCCTACCAGGGTGTGGGGTTTTTGATAATTCTAAGTTAAAATGGAGCATTCTATGGCTTCCTTGGGGCCAAAATTACTATCAGACAGGTCACAGTTGAAGACTGTGGCCACATGTGATCCCTGGTCAATGAGAATTTTATGGTTGCCCGAGGATCTGCTCCCAAGGGTAAGGGGCGCATGGCTATGGCATACAAGTGCTGTGCCCCTGTTCCTTCGTTTAAAAAAATCCCTGGCTAAATTGCATATGCCTAAAATATGCGCACATGTAAAAGCTCATGAGTAGCATTCTACAGCCTAGTTTCTGAATTTTAAGCTGACTTTT